CGTTTTCCCAAACGGTATAGTACCTAAACATAAGCTCAAAAACGTCATTTTTCATAGTATAATATAATTGCTACCTAGTTTTTCCTTTGCATTTAGATTTATCACGTTTTCTCATAAAAAAAAAATGTCAAATATCACTTACCGTAGTATATTCTATTATTTTAAATTTCGTTTTACATTTTCGAGAGATTTGTTATGTTTACGTACGGATTCCACGCAATTTACTTATGTAAAATCAAAAATATCCATTTTTACGAAAAATGGAGTCAACCTGTTTTCGCTTATCACGGCAGTATGACAAATGTTTAATGCATCCGCAAATACAACATAACCATAGTATATAGAAGACTAATGTGTAAATATTAATGGTTTTGACTTTTATAATATATACTTGTTTATAATTTTGCGTGCCGAGACTTAAGCGAGTGTACATAAATTATGAATTAAAAACTCAAATCAACAAATGCATTGCATATAAATTATAAGTATACTCGTACAATAAAAAGTTTGAGTTACATAGTTCAACAAATAAACAATGGATAAATGTATAATTTAATATAAAAATTACAGTGCTGCATTTTAATGAGAAAACCGTAAAAAAAACACGAAAATAATCTTTTTATTATTTTAATTTTTCTTTTTTTATTGCAATTCAGTTGAAGATATTCGTAGAGTACTTGAAATCTTATGTTTGTTTTTTCTAGACGTAGTCAAATTTGTAATTTTTTTTTTTTATATTAGATTAATATATCAAATTTCAACGAAAACCGTAAATATTATACGGCCTTTCAAAACACGTAAAACCGAACTTCGGTCCGAAGCGTATAAATTAAATAAATGCATGTATTCTAACCTCCCAACTTTTCACCTACGACAGTCGTGGCACATCCGTCCCTAGTGTTTTTTTTTTCTCTGTATTATTTATATTTTTTTTCACCGTCTGTCGATACGACATGCGCTACGCGTATCACGAAAGTCCCGGATTTGAATAGCATCGTATACAAGCGATGCGAGTTCCCGTCGCAACCGTTCGGCAGTGGCGTGCGTCGTATATACTCCCACGCCATCCTGCAACATAATATTATGATAACGCGCCTTTGTTGTTTTTGCTGATAAGTACCTATCTACCTTATCTATACGCGCGACTGTCAACACAACACGCGTACTAGTGTGTTTACATTATATAACATATTAAATACGTTTAACTTTATTATTTCGTTTGAAAAATAAAGAAAATCTACCTTTAAACTTTTTAATGTACAGGTAATGTTAATATTAATATTTTTGTATGCGTGAACTGTTAAAGGAATAATATTTCACCGTTAAGTATTGAGATTTATTCTATAGCTAGCTTGCTGATAAATGTATTCGTTCCCGTTAGAGGCGTTTCTCGGCAAGCTCCATTGAGGAGGGGGGACGAAAATATGTTGCATATTATACATAGGATATCCCATCTTCTCCTCCCATTTTTGAACATGAGAATTAACGCAAACACCGGCCAAGGGGAGGGGGTGGGGGTCGATCAATCGATCGCCTCCTTCCTGTAATCATTAGTGGCGGTCTTACGAAATTTGAGTCCTAGAACCGCTCCCGAAGTGCTGCGATGAAAATTAGGATTTGCAGGATCACCTATATGTGAATAAATATCACAAAATAATAACTATCAGAAAATGTATTTAGTTAAATTCAATATTTATACCACAAATAGTTAAAGAATATGTAATAGCTGGAAATTCGAACTTTCGACGTAAACAAATTGATTGATTTTAGACCGCTCTCAGTTGTATAACCTAACCTAATTTAACCTATACCTACTTAATGGTTTGGACATTTTGATATTGCTGGTGTTGTTTTGAATATAATAAATATATTTTATTTTTCAATACCTAACCAAATCAATATTGGTGTTATAATTATTATTAAAACAATCCATTCGATAATTTATTAATCATACAAAGTATTTGTTACACACGCGTACCTATATACAGTTTGACATTAGAGCCCGAAAAAATTGTTCTAGGGGGGAGAGCGGGCCAAACTCACTATTTTATACATTATGCAACAAACCATTCAAATTATTTGAATATGACAAATTTATTAAAATCTAGGACTGAGGCAAATGCACCGTACCCCTCCCCCCCCCTCCTTCCGGGCGCCTATGCATTTATTTCGACGAATTTACGACGTCTTAAAGTTAAACAGTCAATTCGTAAACGATGTCGTTCTCGATCATAATACATTATATTGTATACTTAACAACGCACGCATAACCGCTGTGGGAATTCGTATTATATTTTCAAAAAAAAAAAAACATTAGGTAAAAACGTACTGAACGGCTCTAAAAAGAGAGAGAAAAAAACAACCGACCGATACAATACATAACACGACTCCGCGCGTGTACATTTTATGATATTATAATAATTTACTATGTCCTCGCGTCGTTGTTATCCGGAATATTACGATAATATACACGTATACGTATAACGCCGTATTCACGAATAATCTCGTGTATCCGTGCAGCTGCGCTTGTACACGAAAATATAATAATAAATAACGAGAGAAAAAAAAAAAAAAACGTGAATTATAATATAATATAATCCGAGATCGGATCTTCGGGTGGTCGAAAATCGTTGTATTCGTATAACGCGTTTTAAGTATACAACAATACCTGTACATGTATCGTTATTATTATTAACCGGTAACCGGTTCGCGGAGCGGCCGTAGCAGGACGAAACGGGTCGTGGGGCCCCCTCCCGGCGCGGGCCGCAGAGTTTTTATTACATCCGACCGTCGTCGGCCCGTGGTGGAAACACACCGCGCGCCGCGCGTGTGGTACGACTGGTACGAGCGCGCGGCGCGCCACCGCGTTTCGGGACACCTTGTATACGGGACCGCCGCCGCCGCCGCCGCCGCCGCCGGTATTCCGAGGTGCGTGCCGGTGGTCGTCGCCGCCGCCGCCGCCGGGCCGAGATGAAAAATGGCGGTTTATCGGACCGCCGGAGACCCGCCGCCGGTCGCGCCGCGGCAAGCGGAAAAAAACGTTTTACAATATTGTACGCATTATACGGTAATTATTCGGACGGGGATGAGGAGGGGGGGGGGAGAGGGAAATACAAAGACCGACGAATTTCGTGCCGCGGGTGTACCGCCCCGTAGTACGTAGTCGAGGGTGCGCTCACGAATTGCCTCCCGCGAATGTGGATTTTATTTTTTTTTTATAATCGAACTGCTTCCCGATTTCAAAACTACCATTCACTCGAATCGTCTCCTGTTTTAGGCAGGCGCTACGTACCTACCGCCACCTACCCTGTTGCACGCTGTTTTCACTTATAATTAATCGATTAACTAACTTTGCATTGTAGGAGAATTATAATAAATTGAATTCAAAGTCAAAGTTGATTGATTTAATGTTAATTAAGGTTAATAAATAACAATAAACGTGTATCGATACGGTATACAGTCGAAATCTTAAGTTCATCCGATGTACATGCGTAATCGTGAATATTTCGTTAAACAGATCGATACACAAAACAATTCAGATGAAACGTGAAAATGTACGGAATTACCGTGCGTATTAATGGTGATATTTTTGAACGTTGCGGAAATTGATATAATAATCGATAGTACAGGTACAATCATCGATATATTAATTAATAATCATAGGAAACGATTCGAGTGAAAAAAGGTCACTGACCCAAATTTAGGATATAATCACCAGTCGACGAGCCAAACGATGAGCCCGTGGTTTTTACGCTTTACGCCTGTACATTTCGTTTCATTTCATTGCATCGCACGTGAGAACAGCGCGACAACTTGTACTATTGTTTTTCGCAAAGGATGGTAAAAATATATTGTGAAATACGATAGAACGTAATAAAACAAACAAATAAAATAACGGATTTAATATACGTGTCCAATAATCAATATATGATGTACAATACATTGTACTACAATAAAGTGTTTGATTTTTTTCCAATCCGTAAACGACATTCTTACAAGAAATTGTTTTCCAAATCGTGTCTGCTAGGTGCGCGGTAAGGTTGGTTTTTGATTTGAGCAGAAACACAGTGAATTACCCCAATAGCCGCCGACGACCGTTTCGGATTAATTCAAATTGAAGTATACACGTGTAAGTTTCCACGCCACCTTAGCTTGTTCAATATCAATATTATATACGTTTTAGGTGCATATAATACTATATAAGCATGAGGTATTACACTCGACGCGTTTTTTTTTCAGTGGTATCCCCAGCTGACAAAGCTGTAACCGTACAGAGTTTGACGGTAAATGGATTCGTTAATTGAACAAATGGAAATGTGTTATTCACATTTAACTATGTGTGAGAAATTAAAAACAAAAACAAAAAGCGTTTGTCATATTTTACTAGCGGGAACTCTGTACGAGAAGTCTTGTCCGCCAGGCCTAATCCACCTTTCTAACTAGGCGAAGGTATGTATAGGCACTATATATTACTGACTCAGACAAGTCAGTATTACACAGTCGACACTTTTATATAAATAAAAACACAACTTACATTTGTGCAGTTTACAACTTATGGTGCGAACACAATGATATAAACACTCTTTATGTTCGGCTTGTCTTATTCTTTCTCGAGTTCATCGATTGGACACCGTTACGAAATCGAAAGAAAACATTGATGAACAAGACATTATTCGGTTACCGTCGAATAGAGAAGTAAATATTTCGAACTTTTAAAATTAAATACGATCTGTAGGNCAAGACATTATTCGGTTACCGTCGAATAGAGAAGCAAATATTTCAAACTTTTAAAATTAAATACGATCTGTAGGGTATATTGATTCTTTTTTAAGTGTTATTTGATTATATGAGTATTACACGACCGAGTTCCGTATTGAATGGTAACACAAAAGTACCAATATATATGTATGAAATATTAGGCAAAATAAGCATAACGTAAAGATTCAAAGTTCGTTCAACTTACCTATATTCCATCATCGAGTATTATAGTTATTTCTTACCCCTGTACGGCTAACAGTAGAATTTGCTTTCACGTCTTTTAACCCGGCTCCGGCCCTATTATCCAGAGTGATGTTCACCTCCAACATTTTCATCCCAATATCAAGCCTCATCAATTTATTCCATACTTTACGATAATATATACCAAGTCGCCCTTTAAACCCATCGTGCCGTCTTAATCGTAGATGTCCAGTGATATCCATGTGGGTTAAGTGCTCCACAGCTATACACAAAGATCTGTATTTATCTAAATTTTACGATATCCGGGGACTTAAATAACTTCGTTGCAAATTATTCTACAATATTTCAATATCCAATAAATTTCAGCCGAATCTTAAAATTTCTCCAGTATGTACACTTCATCGTTTCCTTAGTCGTAGTCGTTTTGAGTGCGGGCTCCATTTTATTTTTGTTTCTTTTCTAACAATCCAAATAAGTGCGATACATCTAATTCAACTACTTTCGTTAAAATTTATAAAAATTAAGATAACTAATTTTCGACAAACTCTCCACCCCTCGCGAATTAAAGTTACATATTTATAAGGACTTATCTGTAAAATAATTCGATATATAATAATAATTGGTTAAAATACTTTGAATATGAAAAGATTCAAAGTTTGTTCAACTTACCCATAATCCATCATCGAGTATTATAGTTATTTCTTACCCCTGTACGGCTAACAGTCGAATTTTTTTTCACGTCTTCTAACCCGGCTTCGGCCCTTTTGTCCAGAGTGATGTTCACCTCCAACATTTTCATTTTAATGTCAAGCCTCATCAATTTATTCCATACTTTACGCTAATATATACCAAGTCGCCCTTTAAACCCATCGTGCCGTCTTAATCGTAGATGTCCAGTGTCGTATAACTTCGTATAATGTATGCTNAAGTCCACGAGTTCATGAAAACCATCAAATTACACAATAGTATCTGTAATATACAATTAGGATGCGACGGAAGCTTTCATGACCTGACTAATTACAAATCAAAATAATTAATTTTCGACAACCCCCCCCTGCATTAAATGTTACATATTTATACTTACTTATCTGTAAAATAATTCGATAATATATTTAATTAATATTAATATTAATAATAAAGTTTTATACTTATCTTGGAAAATTCAAATTCGAATTTATTTACATATCTTCTAGCCCGGCTTCTGTTTTTTTCTTTAGGGTAATATTTACTTTCAGTTATTGCTTTCCTATGTCAAGTCTTCGCGATTCGCTCCATGCATAACTTTATTCCACGGTTCATTAAACGTATCGTCAAGTCTTAGTCTTGGATGTTAACTTGTCCTTCCCTTATTAATAAATACCTTTATAGCACAGCTAAAAAAACCATCTAAATTTACGTCTGTATTTTGTAATAATTTAAGTGAATCGCCCACATATAAGTCGCTCCGATGCAATGTTTTCTACGATGCATGAATTCCAAACAATTTTCTGCCCAATTGCAATTATTCCATATTTTCTATTTCTCTGTATATACCTACTTACTCCTATACGGCTAACAGTCGAATTTATTTTCACGTCTTCTAACCCGGTTTCGGCCCTTTTATTCAGAGTGATATTCAACTCCAACATTTTCATTCCAATGTCAAGCCTCAACAATTTATTCCATACTTTACGCTAATATATACCAAGTCGCCCTTTAAACCCATCGTGCCGTCTTAATCGTAGATGTCCAGTGATATCCTTGTGGGTTAAGTGCTCCACAGCTATACACAAAGATCTGTATTTATCTATATTTTACGATATCCGGGGACTTAAATAAATTCGTTGCAAATTATTCTACAATATTTCAATATCCAATAAATTTCAGCCGAATCTTAAGGTTTCTCCATTATGTACACTTCATCGTTTTCTTAACAGTCGTTGTCGTTTTGAGTGCGGGCTCCATTTTATTTTTGTTTTTTTTCTAACAATCCAAACAAGTGCGATACATCTAATTCGACTATTTTCGATAAAATTTATAAAAATTAAGATAGATAATTTTCGACAAACCTCCCCCTCCCCCTCGCGATTAAAAGTTACGTATTTAAAAGTACTTATCTGTGGAATATATCGATATATAATAATAATTTGTTACCATCCTTCGAATATTATAGTTTTATTCTTAACTTGGAAAATTAAAATTCGAATTTATTTACACAGCTTCTAGCCCGGCTTCTGTTATTTTTTCCGGCGTAATATTTATTTTCAGTCATTGCTTTCTAATGTCAAGTCTCCCATATTCGCTCCATGCTTAAATTTTTTCCACGGTTCATTAAACGTATCGTTACTTCTTAATCTTTGATGTTCACTAGTTTTC